ATGATACATTTTTCCAGTATTCCTTGATGAACAGAAAGTTCAAAAGAACAGCATATATTTTAAACAGAAATCTTTTGCTTTTATAAACAGTATAATGTCTTTACTGTCACTTTTGATCAATTTTAATCTTTCCTTGCTGAATAAAAATACTATTTTTTTTAATCACTCTAAATGACCCCAAACTTTTGAATGATAAGTGTACCTACAGTGTATCAGGATGAACCAAATACTTTTGATTATTTTTATGTCATACCCCATATTCAGGCTTGAAGAATCCCTGTTTCTCCCACCAGGAGTACCAGGACGCTTCCACAAACTGAGGACTGTAAGAATCAGGCAGAGGACTCAAGACATCTGAAACACATGAAGGGAGACACATAAATGACTAGACGGGTGCATTACAAATCTGAAAAATACAATTACTGCTAATGGAAGCAAAAGCATACCTTTTTTCTCTCCAGGTGGCGTGGGGATGTTGTAGGTGACCACACCCAGTTCCTTCTTCTCAGGTTTGGCCTTTTTCTGTTGGAGGAGACAGAAGTTGCAACAATACATTATGGCAAGTTCAGCTGTCTGTCTCTCTCTCTTTGTGTCAGTGTTAATAAGATAATAAGATGCTGGGATCATCACTCGACCTCAGTCTGAGGCTGCATCTTCTTCTTCTCTTCCATCTCTTTCTTCTGCTGAAACTTTTCCATCTTTTCTCGCTTCTTGGCCTCTTTCTTTAGCTGAGCCTCCGTTTTAGGAGGACCTGAGAATAATAAATCAAACAAAATCATTCAGCGGTAACATAGACAACTCCTAAAAGTCATACAGACTGTGATAAGAATAAAATCACTCTGAAGTTACAAGAAAATATGAGCTGATGTTTCAATCTGCTAGATTATAATGGTCGTAAAATACACACAAAACACTATTCCTGAATACCATTCTTCAAAACACACACATTCTTACCGTTAGCAGGTGCGCCGAGTGGTGTAGCCGCTTCAGAAGCAGCAGTTGCTGTGGCATTGACAGCAGGGCTAGGTTTGGGTGTCACAGGCACCATTTTCTCACACAGTGAGATTTTACCCAACACCTTCAGGAACTGTGGCTGGTTCACACAGGTATTAAACCATCTGGTCACATTCACCAATGACTTCCTGTCCACAGGCTCCAATGCCTTCAAATGAAACAAACATACTAATAATGAGGAACCAATCAATCAATCAATCATTCTTTGACACCAATTACAACAAATTAAATATAATTTTAAAACCTGTATAATTGTAGAACTAAAACTACTAAATTTATACTGTTTTCTATTTATACTATTTTTGATTAATCAAAATAAAGCTAAAATAAACAAAATGTAAATATTACACGAAAAACCTACATCTAAAACCTTTAGAAAATTAGAAATGTTGGCCTTGGCAACTAACTGAAATAAATAATTTTAAACTTAAGTACTAAAATTGCAAAAACCTAAATAAAAATTAATTAAAGCCATAAAGAAACATATATATAAACAAATAAAGAAATATATATACAAAACCACATAACCAATTAACTAAAACAGACATTTTAACAACCTTATTCAAAATATTTATAAATAATATGTAGGTATTATAAAAGGTAAAATAATACTAAAATAACATTAATCAGTATGATTTTCTTCTATTAAGATGAAAAATGTCTAGGTGTTTTTTGCCCATACAGTGGAAGTCAATGGCATGCAACATTGCTTCAGGACTCCACAGACTTTCATTGTACGACCAAAACAGGTCAAACATTTTTCAAAATGTCTTCTTTGTTTCACAGAAGAAAGAAATACATACAGGTAGGTTTGGAATGATGACAGAATCTAAATGGGAATCTTTTGGGTGAACTAAACTTTTAATAATACAATCTGTTAATATAAAAGAGTTAAAGTGGTCAGGCGTACAGATGTGTACTCACATATTTGAATGGCAGGAGTGCTGCCACAGCAACAGCCATATCTGCCAAAGTCACAGCCTCTCCTACGAGGAACGTCTGCGGTGCTAGAGTCTCATCTAGAACTTTGAGAACACGCAGCAGCTCTGCTCTGGAACTCTGCTGAAGCTAAAATAAAAGATCAATTGATATTATCAAATGTAATAATAAAAAATAGTGCATCATCTCTTTTTATTTAATAAAATAAAAAGGTCTAAGAACGAGGTGTTGTGTACTGGCAATGTGCCTTTTGTTGGCTATCAAGCACCACATGACGCACACTGACAATCAGAGCATCAGGTGATAATGCATTATGATCATATATGGGCCCTTACAGACAAATATATACCTTCTTATCAACCCCCATGATCCCCAGCAGAGGGAATGTCACAGCACAGGCCACCGGCGTCAGCTCGTTCTCAGCAAAGCTCAGCCATTGCCAAACCTGACTTTCCCGTTTCTTCTCGCTGCCTGTCCGGTTGCCCGCTGCTGCCAGGTACCAGCTCACAGCATTAGCACCGGTGAGCACGGTGCCCCCTGCGCCAGCTAAGACCAGCGCAGGGCGAGATCTGGCCACCTCAGCCGGAGGGTCCTCATGAACAATTCGTGGAGGAGATCGACAGAATTCAGCAGCGATCAAGGGCAACAAACTCCTGAAGTCATCAGGGTGGGAAGAGATGTATAGAGTGTCCATCTGACAGAGAGATATGAGAGCCATGTCTATTAATAACTTCTTTTTTTTTTCAGAAAATAAACATTTTGTAAAACTCTCTTAAAATGAATTATAAATTGTATTTAATTTCTACAGTTTTGTGTACGTGACTGTTATATTAATGACTGTTCGACCACAGAGCTTTAACACGGACATGAAAGCAAAAGTATGATTATGTCAATATTCTTTGTCAGTTAACAAAACCTTTAAGATATTAATATTTACAACTATTTGATATCACACTTTTCTGCTTTCCTTATACATTTAATTTTGTGATCTGAGCCTCGTCATGCTGCAAATGACAAATAAACTGTACTTGACTATATAACATTGTCAGATCATATGTACAATATGATCTCACTAAATTAAGATTCCTTAAGTAATTTTATTCATTTTAAAATCGCAATAAACTCTTTTACTAAATAACCTTTTTTATATTTTTATTATAATGTAATGTTTCAATAATAGCTTTAGTATTTTGACGTAAAAATAGACCGGCTAATTGGCTAAACGCATGATCTGTTCATTGCAGCAGAGCTATGACTGCAAAAGTCAAGAAATTACATGTAAGACATACACAGATTGTATTGTATTGATCAGCATAAATACGGCAGTCTCTGTATTTATTTAAGTCTTATTGACTATCATTAGTAACTCACCTATAGGCAGCAGTGGGGAAACGTCAGCCTAAACCCAGCATGCAGAGAATCCAATGCTTCGTCAGCGCTGCCGTAAAGTGATGTAACTGGTCGCAAAGCGCATCCGTCTGACGCAATAAATGTGTAACCGCCTAAAGTCTCCGATAGAGGCGCTATTAGCTACAATTACACTCAACGTCATGATGTAAGGCGCTGGAAATGAGAACCGATAGGCAGCGTACAAATGAAATAATGGAAAGATTGCTTATCTTTTTTTTTAATGTTGCCAGTTAAGAACATTATTATTTTTTTAATATAGAGATAAAAGTATTGACAACAATTGAAACTTTATTATTTTGACGAGCAAATGTAATGTTCACAAATTTCATTTCATAAGCCTTCTAGGGTCCAGGGACCCCAAGGGAGTGCTAGGTTTAGAGAAAGTTTAGAGAAACAGTGTTAAAAAAGTTACAAATAAATAAATGATAAAAAATAAGATTAAAATAAACAAATTAGTAAATAAAAAATAAATAAAAACAGGTTAAAATAGCCTAAATGAGTAAATAATTCAAAAAGTAAATAAATAAATACATCTAACAGTACAGTAGCCTACTGTAATGAGTAGGGAAAAATAATAATGTAACTTAATGGAAACTAAATATAATTTTTTTTCCAAGTAATATTTTAGATATTTATAATCAGTGTTGGGGAAAGTTACTTTTAAAAGTAGTGCATTAGAATATTGCGTTACTTCCTAAAAAAGTAACTAATTACATTACTTGGTTACTTTTTATTGAAAGTAATGTGTTACGTTACTTTTGCGTTACTTTTTAAATCTGGGCTGGGCTTGCTTGCTTGCTTTGAATATAAAAAGTTATATTTTTGGCAAATGTAAAAGCCCTTTCACACCAAAAGCCTCAGGCTGAAGGAAATGTCAATTGACGTCTGTACAGTAGAACACAGAAGAAGAAAGTTCAACACTCTTCAGCAATAAAAAAAAGAAGAAATGTTAGTTTATCTTGTGTAATTTTTGCTTATTTGTATGGTTGAATTGGATCACTGAAGGTCAGCAGCAAATTGGTTAATAAAATGGGATTACATACATAAAGGATATTTGTATTATTTAACATATTTAATTAAAGTAACTCAGATATTTTCTTATAAATTAAAACGTTACTTTACTAGTTACTTGAAAAAGTAATCTGATTGCGTAACTCACGTTACCTGTAATGCGTTACCCACAACACTGTTTATAATAATATAAATTTCGCAGCATTGGGGTCTTGCAAGAATTTAGGTACCTTTTAAATTTTAGGATGGGAGTCTCTCACACAAGTATCATATTTGGAGATCCATGAAAACTCCTCACAAGAATGGGAAAAATTGGCTATAGTTAAATATTAAGAACTTGTATGGTGCAATATATTTGTATGTTATACATACATTTTTATTTTAAACCACTTAATAAAGGATTCACTTTATAATCATGTTTTATTCACATAAATGACTCGTCATATTAAAAGATTACAGCCAGGTGCTGTTCTAATAATAAGAGATGGTACATTAAAAATGTTTTCCTCAACTTTGCACCTTTCTGCGCAGTTTATAGTGTTATTCAGAAGACTTACGTTGATTACCTTGATGAAGGTCTTGTGCTATAGATTAGACTATAAATGACAGGGAGCATGACTCACAGAGAAGAGGTTTTATTGCAGCATATAAACCATGACACAGCAAGGTCTTTGTATGTCAGATGAAACGACCAACATTTCACAACAATTACATAATCTTTCTGACACTTAAAACATAAACATTTCTCAGCACCTTGAAAGAGTTGCAAATCACCCTGCACCTTCCTTTTTTAAAAACATTAGGAGGTTTATGTAGGTATTTTAAGGCAGAAAGTAAAACAGAGGTTTAATGATTCATAACCACATGCCATATGGTTAATATTCAGTGCGCAGTCTGACACTACAGAGGTCAGGTTCCGGAAGTAAAAATCCTATTCAGTATCTCCATAGGGGGATTGATTTTAACAATAACTTGTACATTTTTAAAGACAGACCTACTGTGAGCTACAAGATTGTTAATCAATATCGTATATGCTTTTGCTGAAGCCATTAGTCCACATTATTTCTACTTAATTTTTAAAGGATCAATTCCAACAGTGGAATTCATGGTGAAAAACTACATTATGATTCTGCAGAGAAATCTCCACCATTCAGATAATTGAACCAAGCAAATTGCACCAATTGGCTGCCCACCTCCATGAAACACTGCGAATGACATAATTTGTACATATATGCATATATCCCCACCTCCATGAAACACTGCGAATGACATAATTTGTACAAATATGCATATATCGCAATAAATGTAAAATATATGTTAAGTACACAGTCTTGTACCTTTTAGTCAGATTTTCAAATACTTTTTCTTTAAATCAAAGTTTGTAATGTTATGATTCACCTCATAGATAGTTGGTTTGGTTTTATGGCTTATAACTCTTTAACAAAGACTTCTCTATGGGAAAATATAGGAAAAATACTCCCGGAACCAAGGTCGCTGAAAAAAGTGGGCGGGGACTTATGCACTCTATTTGGGGTGTAATATGCAAATAAGATATCTAACACAAGCATATACACACATTTAAGTCTATTCACCGACCACTTCAGATTTCAGCAATTCAAGGGTTTGCAATTCAGATGACTCCCCTGAGCTCCCTCCAAAAGCTTCCTGGACATTGGATATTGTATTATCCACTACTCCACCGATGATGGATGCCACAATTTTGAGCAGCTGGCCCACCCCCCTTCCACTTCTCCAGGTAAGTTTGCCAACCCCACTTCCCACTGTTGACACCTGGTGGCCCATTTCCGAGGATACGGCACATAGGTAATCTACCGTCTGATCCCAGACTGACCCGAGAGTAATCCTGATGATCCTAAAACCATTCCCCACTGTTCCTGTCATGATCCCCAAGGAATCCAATGCCAGAGTGCCCATCCCTATAAATCCCTCCTGGAACGCCATGAACAGGCTGCCAGCTAACGGACTGAGGCAGGAGTAAGTCGTGCACACACTTGTTTCTCCTGTCTGGTACAAGGTGTTCAACACACATGAAATGCCAGAAGACACTCCTGAGCCCAAGTTGTTGACCAAAGTGTAGCTGTCACCAGGCACCGAGGCCAGAACAGCCAGATCTTCCTGAAGAATGTAGGTTAGCTGGAAGGGAAGGTTAATGGCTCTGTTTACGATCGGGGAGAAAGGGGCGTAAAGGAGAGAGACGGTGGAAGACAAAACATAGAGGAGGACAGACTCTGATCTCTCCGTCTCATTGGTGCTCTCCTGAATGTCCATGTCTGAGCTCAAAGAAGATATGTAGCTTGGAGCTTCACCATTAACATGCTCCGAAATCACTATCTCTATTCCTGATTCTGATGTCTCTGCTTCCTGAGAGTTGTGTTCGCCAATGTGTTCTTCACTTTGCACATCAGAGTTGGGTGTTTTGATGCCATTCAGTTGCTTTTTCAAGAGCGATGCAAGTTCCTCTTCACTCTGATGTGCTACTTCACCACAACCTCCTGAAAACAGGCCTGTAACTCCTATTAGCTCCTCCAAAGCCTTAATGCTGAGCACCTTCACGTCCCCATCCTTCACTAGCCCAACACTGAAACTACCATCTCCATCTGATGCAGCACAGCACACTGCTGACCACAACAGTTTCCCCCTGCACTCATTAAACCCACCCACACCAATCTGCACATACATTTCTCCGCTTGTCTTTGAACACATTGGTATGACGGAGCTCCGTATAAACTCTGCTGTCAGGGCATCCCATTTCAGAAGAGGGTAGTTGTGATGGGGTGATGGGGTCTCATCTGTGGTTCCTCTGTAAAGAGCTGGGATGGCCACAGGGGAGTCGTCATTGAGCTCTTCTTTGGCATCCTGCCGATAGGGTAAAAATGACAGGTACGATTAATTATTTAATTGCAAAAGTATACACTAAAATGCATTTCTCCACAATACAAATGGACAAAAATGCACAATATTTTACATTGTTCAAGGATTGTTCACCCAAAAATGAAAATTCTAACTTCATTTACAGTGCTCACCTTCATGGCATTCCAAACCTATATGATTTTCTTCTACAGAATGTAAAATAATATATTTTAAAGAATGTTGGGGTCCAAACAACAATGGACCCCACTGATCCTTCACTACATGGACCAAAAAAAACAAAAAATTAAATATCTTCTTTTTTTTGTTCCCCAGATAAAAAGATGTAGTTTTGGAATGACATGAGGGTGAGTAAATAATGACAGAATGTTCTCTTTACACAAACAATTTGAAATTGGGAGTTTTTTTTTTTTTTTTGATAGAGACAAATGAGATTTTGAGGTGTGACTGAATGAAACAACCTGTTCTGAGTCAGTTTCATGAATAGCCTTGTTAAAAAAAAAAAAAGAGGCAGTCAGATTGTCTTAATGGGTTTGTTAGCATTCTGTATAACATCAATCTGTAAGAGTGGCCATAGTAAAGAAAATAAAAATCTTCCAAGAAAAATTTGAAATGTAATCTATATATTGATGCTAGATGCTGGGGAGCTGCACCACATGGCATTTTACTACCAGAATTAACCTCGTCTTGTCATAAAAAGGTCCAATTATCTGGTATTTTAGGAGACTTATTGGCCTTGACACACAGGGTCTCCAGGTATGCTCTCTATGATGTAATTTCCTGTTTGTTTTCTGCATGTTGGTTGCAGAACAACTGATTTTGCAGACATGTTTTCCAAATTGTAGTAAGAAATGAAGCAATTTTGTAAAAATATTTTAAAAATGCAATTTTATTAGACATTTATTCTATGTAAATATGTATATATTTAGATATAAAAAAATTTTTTTTAAATGCAGTTCGTTCAAGCAGTGGAATACAACACTTCTATGATGAGTGTGTTTTTAATCTGTATATTAAAAAGGAAACCAAACAAATTGATAATAATAAATAAATAAACAAACAATGTTCTTAAAAACTTTTAAAGTACAAATTAAAAACATGCTTATCACAGGTGTATTTGAGTCGGTGTCAGTGTATGAATTGCATTTTTAAAGGGGTCATATGATGCGATTTCAAGTTTTCCTTTCTCTTTGGAGTGTTACAAGCTGTTTGTGAATAGATAAGATCCCTAAAGTTGCAAAGACTAAAGTCTCAAAACCAAAGAGATATTCTTTATCAAAGTTAAGACTCTGCCACACCCCCCTAAAACGGCTCGTTCTAACACGCCCCCACATATCTACCTCACTATGTGGAAATATTTGCATAATGCGCCTAAATGTGCACGCAAAGAAAGAAGGCGTGGTTTCAGTAACCGCAGTTAAATAATGATATTTAAAAAAGCATCATATGACCCCTTTAATGTTTTTGAATAAATTAATAGAAATGACAAAAATAAGAACCATGATATTGATCCTACTAAAAATTATCCATGAAATGGTAAGATGTTTCTCTTCCACTTCACTTTACAGCCTTGTACACTTGCATATCAGCAGAAAATTTTATGAATGTTGTTTAGCAAGACTCTGCGGTCAAAAATTCAGACATCTATAACCTGTACTTACACTTATTCAGTACAATAGCTCTGCCCATAAGATAACAGCCAACACTTCATCACAACAATGCATTTTTAGCAAACATATATGCTCAAATCTTCCTCTGAAGTAGGGCTGGACGATATGGCCAAAATTTATATCACGATATATTTCTTAATTTCGGTCGATACGATAGTCTATACAAGCTCCAAGACAGTGACTAAGGGAGAGATAAACTGTCTCACCGTGCTCTGCTCTTCTCTGCCCCATCCATTATTCAAGCTGAAGTGAAGGGCTGTATAGACGGTGGTTTGGCAGTTGGTGTTATAGAGCGATGCAAAAGGCCGTCCGGTCAGATGTCTGTGACACCTCTGATCCAAACCCAGCTCAGACAATAAGTGTGGAGGTGTGCCTCTGAAAAAACACTCTTGACACTGGAAGAAACCTGGATCAAGATCTGTGTGTGTACTTGCCTGGACCACAACACCATTAAACAGCACTGCAGAAATGAACACAGCAAGTCTGGGCAGAGCAAACAGCATGGCTGAAACCCTCAGTACAACGAAGCAGAGACTGCAGCTAACAGTGCTGAACTAGCAGCTCTCTCTCTCTCCCCTCTCTCTTCGGCTATGCAGAATGAGTCTGAGCACAATCTCACCTTCTTCATCCCTCCCCCTTTCACTCTCTCACTCTCTTTCATCCATCCCTCCCTTTCCAAATCACACTTTCTGACTACACCTCATTTTAGTATTGCTATAATGCACACAAACCAGTGCACACACCTCTCACACGCCTTAAAGACTACCTGTGTGTCAGCATTCCCCCACATCAACACTACAGCATGCCATTTTTGCAGCTAAAGTCATTTTTACGGCCAAAATATCATTCTGACACTGTCTACATGCCAAACAGAAGAAAAATGTTCAGTCATAAATATGAAATTTCACAAATCAGAGGTGGTGTATGAAAACAGGTGCTAGTGTATCGACTCAAAAACTACTCAACAAAGAAAGTACAGACAGAAACACAGGAGAACATTTTAAATATTTAATCAAAATAAAAAAAATCAGAGGACATTAAAAATACATTAAACAAAAATGATTTTGAAAAAATATTTTGCTTGCAGTTTCATTTAGCACCTGTGTGAAGAAAGAAAGAGATTTTAATTGCATTAATTTAATATCTTTTATTAGAGGCATAAATAATCCTGGTAATAAACTGTTAGAGGTACTGTCATGTCTAGTTTTTGTTCAGATGGTGTGTGTGCCTGTTTAATAATCCCACAGAAACTTGCCTGGGCTAGTGTTGATGTGCTCCTGGGTAAAATGGGTGTGGCTCTCTCAATCTCAGTGTGTTTTTCTCTCTTTGTCCAGAGAGAACCCCCCCCCATTGTCTAAATGTTGTCGTGCAACTATGCAACTATACATTTAAGGCACACTTAAAGGTAATACACTGCAGCTCAGCAGTCTTTAAAAAGAATAAGCCTATCCAGTATCCACGATGAGTCAGGAGTTTTTTTTTTGTAACTCAGTCTGTTATACAACTAAACGCCAACTTAACACAGATCCAATTTTCTTAATGACGAATCACAAAATACCTTTTACTTGGTCAATCTCCAATTTCCCACACAGGATAAATGGAGTACCTGCCTATCTGGAAGGATCTGAATGATCTAATAATGTGTTTATGCAAGGTGTGCAAAACAGGTTCACAAAACAGGGCCTCAACAATAACAAACATTTCTGGTTGTCCTGCCAACACTTTCACCAGCCCCACCACAAATAAAATGATCAATTATTATTATTATTATTAATTATTATTATATTTGCTAGAAAAAAATTTCATATAAAACTATATTTTTTAAATATTTTCACTAAATGTTAAGCATTCTTTTAAATTTTTCCCCACTCTTTTTTCTCTATTATTTATTAACTCAATAAATCCATAAACACTCTTTTCCTAGAAAGCAATGAAGCAAAACATCTGTAGTTTTCAACATTCATACCAAAACAAAAGTCATTTTGCCACATATACACTACTGTTCAAAAGTTTAGGGTAAGATTGTTTTACTTAAAAGAAATGAATACTTTGACTGACCAAGGATGTATTCAATTGATTAAAAATGACAGTGAAGACTTTTACATTGTTACAAAAGATTTCTATTTCAAATAAATAATTTATTTTGAACTTTCTATTCATCAAAGAATCCTGAATAAAAAAATGTATCATGGTTTCCACAAAAACGGACAAAAAAACACTGGCAATTAAAAGAAAAATGTTTCTTGAGCAGCAAATCGGCATATTAGAATGATTTCTGAAGGATCATGTGACACTGAAGACAGTAATGATGCTGAAAATTCAGCTTTGGCATCACAAAAATAAGATATATTTTAAAAATATATATAAAAATAGAAGACAGTTATATTAATATTTTCATAATATTTCTGTTTTTCTGTTATTTTGATAAAATAAATGCAGGACTGGTGACCGCAAGAGGCTTTTTTTCAAAAACAATCTTTTTTCAAAAAAATCTTATCGACTTCAAACTTTTGAATAATAATAATAGTGTATGTTAACCAGCTAGATAACATTATCTTGTCATTCTTATTGTTGAGCTCTGGAAAAGCAACTTGTGTGTATTTTGGATTAAATTAAAGCTCCTGCTAAATGCTCACAGCAGCCTGTGTTTGTCTATTACCTTCACTCATTGGGTATGTCAATAACCAGCTCTGCCTCATCACCCTCTCCTCTCTCCTCCTCTCCTCGATCACTCTCTCCTTCACTCTCTCCCTCCTCCTCGGCTGCATCCTCACTCAGCATCTGCTGTGGGACCCAGCTGAATGGCCCACTCACACCCCCAGCTGCACCACTGCCTGCAGGGTAACTGGATGTGAGTGGGCCAACCACCTGAATAAGAGGGAGAAGCAGAGAAATGTTTGTTTTTAGACTGCAAATCAAAAGCATATGTAACTAAAACGCATAAATAGAAATGTGTTAATGTAACTGTAAGATTATTACAAGACATGACAAACAGTGGAGCAATAAAAGCCACATGAATCTAGGCCACTGCGTTTCTGTCGTTAACCTCTCTGTCCCTCTCTCACCTTCCCTGAACAGTCTTTCCTGTGTTTGGCCAGTTTTGTTTTTCTCTCTTTCTTCACTCGCTCAGCAGAGGGAGCCAAATACTAAGGAGGGAAGGGTAACTGCTCACCCAGAATCACACACACACACACAAGGCCACCAAAGAGTAACAATCATTCCCACAAACACACCCAGAGTACCCAGAGTGATGTGTGTGAAGTCCATGTAAACCAGGTGAGGTGATACAAAGACAAAAAGAGAGAAAAAAAATGAATAAAATGACAAATTAACAGGTGACAAAAACAATGTGACTAACTGAAAAACATGAGTGCAGTATGTGTACAGTATGAGACATGGGAGCGCACATGGAGGTGTGATGTACTCACAGTGTTGAGGTACTGTGCCGGAGCACATGACTGGAGAGGAACCGCACCAGAGCGAGACAGGAATGAGAGATGAGGAGATGAGGACGAAGGGACGGGAGGAACCCCAGGACTCCTCCTTCTAAAAAAAAAAAAAAAACAATAGATTTATTGAAGACACAGAGCTATAAAAGTTAAAAAAAAAAAACACGGCAAAAGCAGAGGTGATGTATGCAAAGCACATGTTTGCTTGACAAAACTTGGAAAAGAGCAAAACAGAAAAGTTGCCACACCTGTCTCAAATGTGATTTCATCTAGCCACAAACAAAATTTCAAACAAATTTTATTTGAGTATGTTTATTTAGTTAACCTAAGATATGTGCCTCACAAACTCTACATCAATTTTCTTTTTTTCTTAATTGCATTTAGCATTCATAATTTATTCAAAGCTATTCAAAAGTGCATTATCTGTCACTGCCTATAAGTTTCTATGTTCTATGAAGTCTTGTGCATATACAATTTTGTGCTTTCTCAAATCTTTTCCAATCGGATGGTTATTTCTTTTAAGCAGCGTGTAACTGGCAAATTTTACATTTTTAAGCTTAATGGATGATTGAAAGGTAAATACACACATTAGAGTTTGCACTACAAATGCAATGCAGTCTTATGTAATTCTGACCATGGCAAAATTCAAAAGGCACACATGCATTAAAATGTTTATTCAACAACCCATTAAAGGTCTCTATACTACTGTAGGTCGGTATGACTTTTTAAAAATGTTTTTTTTATGTTTAATAAAGACATCTCTTATGCTCACCAAGGATGCATTTATTTGATCAAAAATACAGTAAAACAGCAATATTGTAAAATATTATTACGATTTCAAATAAATGATTTCCATTTTAATGTATTTTAAAATGTAATGTATTCCTGTGATGCAAAGCTGAATTTTCAGCAGACATTACTCCAGTCTTCAGTGTCACATGATCCTTCAGAAATCATTCTAATATGCTGATTTGGTGCTCAAGAAACATCATCTTATTATTATCAATGTTGAAAACTGCGTAGTATTTTTTTGTGAAAGCTATGACAATTTTGTCAGGATGTTTTGGTGAATAGAAAATTCAAAAGATCAGTATTTAAAAAAAGAATAATAATGTAAGTCTTTACTGTAACTTTTGATCAATTTAATGCATCCTTGTAAAATAAAAGCATTAATCTTTCAGAGCCTAAAATTTTGAATAGTAATTTATACAGTTCAATAAGGTAAAATTGGTCAAATCCCCCCAAAACAAGATTCACTTGCTGCAAACTCACTTCTTCCCTGCTTCACTGTCTCTCTCCCTGGCTCCTTCTCCATCGCTGTCTGAGGAAACGGTTGCATCAGAGTCTGGAAACAAAAACACTCACAGCTCACAAAATTCCTTGCAGATCCCTAGAGGTTTGTAGACAAGCATTTTCATTAGAGACCTACCAGACGACTCTTCATCCACCCTTTCATACTGCAACAGTCTGTCCAACAGAAAACTGACACAAACAGAAGTGTTTAATTCTGATGCATGTAGGTCAAACAAGGGTGAAGCATTTGATAACTGTGCTAATACGATTACAGGTTCTACCTTTTGTCTCTAGAAACTTTTAATAGTTTCCTCTGAGCTCTTCTCAGCTCCTCCTGAAAACACTCTTGCTCCTGAACAGAGAAATGAAGACAGAGGGTAACAATCTAAAATGACAAATAAAAAAAAAAAGAACATTGACGAAAAAGATACTCACATATACCAGAAACTTTAATTTGCGTTTGATATTTTTGTATTTTCTCTTGTAATCCACCTCTACTTCAGCTTGCCCGTTCATTTCTAAGGCTTAAACGAAGATATACCGTCGTTTTCAAGTTTATATGGGTTCGACACCGAAACTGTACTGTTGTCCTCCAAATGTTAATGTCTATGTTTGTCCAGGAAGATTTAAGAGACTGAAATAGATTTTTAAAACGAATGCTCCTCTGCTAGCCATGCTAAAGCTGCATATTCAGCAAGCTAAAGAATGAACAAATTATGTATTTGTAAAGTATAACAAACAAGTTAAACTCCACAAATTAGATAATGATAATGTAATAAACTATACTATGTCAAACAAAATTACAGGACATTTAACAATGACAAGAAACACAGAATCTCACGCATGTCAGGTACTGTGCTTGAACCGCGATGTGCTCTTTGTTTACTTCCGCTTTCAACGTATTTCGTACAGGAAACGGTTTTTGCAGTCATTAGTCAATCTCTCACTAGAAAATTTATTTCTAAACAAATGCTGATTTCAAAGTTCACCATATTGCGTGAGTATCCTTGAGTTGTTTGGTTCTTTCTCGACAATCCTTTGTTAGAGCACATCCCCATAAAAATAACAACAAAATATAAAATTCAGTTCACATTAATAAATGCATTAAAATGAATTATATACACGTAATAAATGTAATTAAAACTAAACAAAAATTTAATTATTTCACTGTAGCCAAACCAGGGGCCAACTCCTAAACTCTCCAAAGCATGTAGTTTGTTTTACTAAAGTTTTTGGGTGTCACAATTACTCAGTGTGTAGCAAAGCGTAGTGGCTCTATCTGTGTGTGTAGGGGGTGGAGAGAGAGAGAGAGAGTGAGTGAGAGAGAGGGAAAGAGAGAGAGAGAGAGAGAGAGATGCCCAATATCATTAAGTTCTAAACTACAATTTTGAAGTGTCTTGTAAGTGCACTGTATGTGCTGCATGTGACTGTGCATTAAAATGATGGCACTCTCCCTTTTACTGAATCTGCATCCCAGCAGTCAGACACTCAGGGCAGGTCCATAAATAATACATTGCCTTGGTTGAGCAGTTTTCAGAGAGAGAGAGAGAGAGAGAGAGAGAGAGAGAGAGAGAGAGAGAGAGAGAGAGA